GGAAATTCTTAATCTTACTGACATTAAAAAATATTGAGAACTGGCTGTTGTTTTTAGTGGTTAATGTCAGTCCATGAACCCAAGTGTTGTGAGTTTGATTTCTGGTCAGGAGCACATACCTGGTTGTAGGTTCAATCCCTACTTCATTCAGGGCATGTGCAGGAGGCAACCAATTGATGTGAGATGGGTCTTTCTCACATCGATATCCCTCCCTCCTTCCTCCATCCTACTCTCTTATGGGAAAAAATATCCTCAGGTGATGAGGACAAACAAAAAACAAATATTGGAAGTGCAATTGATTGATTTCTTATAGCTGCCTGGGTCATCTGATTGTTTAGCATCTATGTGCCAAGATGAATTTGCATTGATGACAGGGTGAACTTTTTCATAAATTGGAACCCTCGGTAAATATTGGTACAGGATTTATGAAATTCTTCTACACCTAAATGTAGAACATTATGAAGTTTTTGGTTAATGATTTTGTTGAGTTCAGGTTTAGCTTGATCCTCAAGCTTCCATAGAGGAAGACATTTACAGAACTTCAGCGAATGGATTGGTATCCTCTGGCTTGGGAAATATGTGATTTTGCATTAAAGTAAAAAGAAAGCAACCAATGACTAGTTTTGCTAGGGAGAGTTAGGTTTGCCTTCCAAAAGGCTCAGTAAGTGCTTTGGACATGTAGGATAGGGAGAATGGGTAGGTTCTACAACAGCAGGTTATTAGGAAGGGTAAAAAGTAAGTTCTGGCCTCACTGGTTTGACGTATTTTCATATCCCTCTTTGTTATCAGGGTGACTTGTGTTTTTTTGTGTGCCTTTGTTCCCAAATAGATGTACTTTTTCTCAAAGCTAACTTCTGAATATTGTAATAAAGACTGAATTGAGCCCTCAGACTTACTTCCACTTTCGAATCTTTGCATTTGGTGTCCAGAGGTGAAAGGCTGTTGCACTTGATTTCATTTGTTTCTTCTCTCTTGTAAGAAATTCTGTTTCTTTCCAATGTTAGAGATTACCAAGAATCCTCATCCTTGCCACATCATTCAAGTGCTTTTTTTTTTTAATGAAGATCCCAGATTTGATGATGGAGGATTTTGATTGTTTTCTTTCTCTGTCCATTTTCTTATCAGACCAAAGAGAACCCTGTACAGTAAGAAATATGGCGTGGACCTCATCAGATATACTCATGCAGCAAATACAGTCGTTTACAGCTCTAATAAAATAGACGGTAAGCAAGCCTTCTTTTTAGTAGGTCATGGTTTCCTTTGTTAAATAGTTCACGGAATCTTTGTGACTATTTCTGTTTAGGTTGTAGTTACTTTAAATATTTTCCTATGATGTTAGCAGTGCTAACATTGTTATGACTGAAAAGATGCTGGAGGCAAGCTGTAAGTGCTTTTGAAATTGAGTATGAAAGATCTTCAGTTCAGAGTAGAAAGTGGAAATAGGAAGCAACAACTGGTGTTTATGGTTTGTACTTCTGGAAACTTAGAAGAATACTTTTAGAACAAATGAAAGGAAAGAATACTTGACACACAGCAAGTGGTAAACAATAGTACCTCCTCTTCAAAATATAGAGATTTGAGAAAAGTTTTCACAAATGCTTGAGCTATGATAGTTTATGGGATCTTAGAAGAGTTTTTAGTGTATGCCCAATCTTTTATGGTCTGTGTCAATAAAAGACAGTGTGCTGACCTTATTTTGTCTTTGATTCTGGGGACAATCTTTTTATCTGAATTTTATCCTTTTCCCTTTTTACTTTTAAATAAAGCTAATGTCTTTGAAGAGTAAAGTTATTTTTAGAAATTAAACTTGTGAGTTTCTTTCTCTAATAAATGGTTCTGCTTTTACCTGCATTTCACCAGGATAAGTTGTTGTCAGTTGACAGATGATCTTGATAACTGAGCAATACCACTTAATTCTTTTATTATTATTTTTTACAATATATTTTATGGATTTCAGAGAGAAAGTTAGAGGGAGAGAGAGATAGAAATATCGATGATGAGAGAGAATCATTGATTGGCTGCCTCCTGCACGCCCCACACGAGATAAAGTCCACAACCTGTGCATGTTCCTGAACGGGAACCTAACTGACCTTCTGGTTCATAAGTCAATGCTCAACCACTGAGCCACATCGGCTGGGCAACACTTACTTTCATGTTAGTACTCCTTTTTAAAAAAATTCTCATGAATTTGATTGTTTCACTTTTTTTGCGGTAAGATTTTTCTAAAGTCATTCAACAGAGGTTGCTTAACTGTTATTTTGGCTCTGCCTGTCTCAGAGCTGAAGTGTCTTTTTTTTTTTAATGCTTTTTTATGAGATGTTTCAGCCTGTACTTGACTTTTAGTAAGTATATTATTTCTACTTTTCATACCTGTATTTCAGAAATGGTTTTTTAATTAAGCATGCACTTGATGCTTTTGACAAGAATATATAAAACATTAGAATCCTAAGGAAACATATCTATGTGATTATCTGCATGACTGGTATATTTCTTCTGTTGGGGTCTTTTTCTGGGTGATTAAATGAGGATTGTTCAAATCTGGTTCAAGATGAGGCAAATGTGTGGCACTGCAGCTTTGCTGCCAGGCCTCCGCTGTGAGGATATTGCCTTTCCTGTGTCGAGTGCATCCTGAAGAGTTCCTTCAACGCTTCGTTTCCTTTTGCCTGATTCCAGGCTGAGGTAGTAGTTTGTACAGTTTGAGGGTCTATGATACCACCCGGTACAGGAGATAACTGTACAGGCCACTGCCTTGCCAGGAACAGCGCGCCAGCTACCGAGTGGGGCGGAGAGGATGGCGACGCCCTGCTCATCTCTGGGAAACCAGGTAATGGGGAGAAAGCCTTTTTCTGCTTAGGGAAGGTGAGTAGCTCCTAGTAATAGAACAAACAGGAAGACTTTGTAGTTGTTATAGGAGAACTTTAAAGATGTATTCAAGGAAAACCATGTAGAGTTCAGTTTTGTAACATACAAAGAGAGGACCCTTTACCCTCTCCCAGGTTAAATGTCCTCTTATTAGAAAGTACTCCTGTGAACCACTGGGATGACTTGGTGCAGTTAGTGTCTTTGTTCCTGTGTTCTGTTTTCCTCTAGAATGTTCTTTCTGTGCTTTTCTTTATGCATTTTGGCATCATTTCCTATTACCCCTTTCTCAACAATTGTTCCTTTTTCATAGTCTTTTTAGGGGCATCGTACCTTCTAGTTCTATTCTTTATGGCACTTCATTTCCCTTCCCATCACCATCTTTTTTTTTTTTTTTAGATAGAATCATTTGGTTTTTAAGAATGTCTTATTTTACCCAAGCACAGATCTCTACGATTATTCCTTTCTTTGTTATTGTCAAAATCCCACTGTTCTGACTTCTTGGTATAGTTCATGAGTTTTATTTTGAAAATGTCTTGAGATCTTTGAAACCAAAATTTTCTCACTGCTTTTTGCCACTTTATTAGTATTTTAAACTAATTTCTCTGATGGACAAGGGACTAGTGGATAGTTAGTTAATTAGAAAAGAAGTAATAGAACTTCTCTTTCCATTTTGTTTAGTTTTTATGTAAATTGTAAACACAGCATTCAGGTGAGGGTATTGCTCTATAGTCTGTCAACTTAAGAATTCTGCTTTTGAATTATGTCAGATCTGTAGTGCTCTCTTTTCAGTTGTGGAAAGGAATTATTTACTATTTATTCATACCTTGCTTGGGTTATAGACAGCAATGACTTCTTTGATCTTGCCTTTTCATATGAAAATGCAAAGTAATTTTCTTTGAAAATAGTAGGATATCATCATGCCTTATTTGTCTTCTTACAGATACTATTCGTTACCTGTCCTTGCATGACAACAAATACATCAGATACTTTCCTGGACATAGCAAAAGGTAAGACCCAAGTGTTCTAGAAGTAGATAGTTCTTTTATCCCTGAGCTCTCAGATAATAGAAGAATGAATGGAGAGATTTTATCAGTGAACTAAAGCTAGTTCCTCCCTGCTGCTTGGCCTTCCTCTTGGTCTTCTTTTGTTAATCCCCACCCAATCAACTCTTGATTAACTGAGGTTGTGGAGGCAGGGGTAGGACTTTATACATAAATTTAAATTGTTACCAGAAAGGGGACCTGGTCCTTGGTGGTTCTGCCTAGGGCCAGCCTGTAGTGCGTGGGTTCTTCATGCAGGAAAAATTTCACAACATGAAGTCCAGGTGAATTTTAGCGGATGTTTATTAAAGCTGGGACAATGAAACAAGGAAGGGCTGGGAAAATGAGCCTAGGCTGGTCTGCTTTGGCTCACTAAGAAGTCAGAGAAAAGGGGTCCTTGGGTACAGGCTCTGGGGGTTTGCCGGGGATGATCTGCCACTGCCCATTGCTGTCCTGGTTGTAAGCCTTGTGGGGTCCCTTGGAGTTCAGGAGATACATGCCTAGGGGAAAGAAGTAGGAAGGAGAACACAGGCTGGGAACTTTGTTTTGAGGGGTTTTAAAGGCTGGGTGTTTAGGGGAAGTCTCAGGAGAGAATCTCAATAGAATGTTCATCAGCTTTATGCTGATGTACCAAAATGAGGTTTTTCTCTTCATCTGTCCTTGGTTGTGGTTGGCAAATTTCACTAATTGGATTTCTGCTGTCATCCTTCGTAGAGTGATTTAAGCTATTTACCCTCTGGTTAGGAGGAGAAGTGCGAAACAGTTACTCAAGTGTCCCTGGTTTAGGGAAGATAGGATATATTAGATCAGTGGTCGCCAACCGGTGGTCCTTGAGGTCTGAAAGGTTGGTGACCACTGGTTTAAGGAAACCTTTGGAGCAGTGGTCACCAACTGTTGGTCCGCAGACCACTGCTGGTCTGTGAGGTCTGAAAGGTTGGTGACGGCTGTACTAGATGGCTGTAACTGCTTGGCATCTTGATTTTCTAGATGGTTGCAAACTGCTGTTTAACAGTCTGATCTTAGTTTCCCTAGTCCACTTGTCCTGGTTGACTGGCCTGTCTCAAAATCACAGTTAAAATGTAATTAGGAAAAATGGTAGATTAAAGATATTCAGTGGAAACCTATGTAGTAAAAATACAGTTAGCATTTAGGAACCCCAATGAAAGGGATATCTGTATTTATATGAAGCCTCCCAGTAAGGTGGTCCCATTTCAGCAGGTTTCTGCTCTATACAAACATTCTATGTGGGGACCTTAATGAGGATGCAAAAGAATAATTGTCCTTTGTTACTTTTAAAAGTCAAGAAGCTTGTTTCCTTATCGGGTTTGGTAGTGTAGGTTGCTTCTCTGTCTCTGCCAATTTCCTCAGTATTTTTTTCTCTAGTTTGTCAAGTTTTGGTTGAATGTTAAACACATTTTTCCCTTGGATGATATTTTAATCACAGGGAGTGGATTATTTCCTCCTGCTTTCATTTGCAAATGTCCAGAAACCAAGTAAGGCTTAGAGTGGTAGAGTACCCTGACAGGCTGCACTCTGATTGGGCAGGGCATTTCAGGTAAGAGGCGGCAGCTGTTGATTACGGTAGTGCCAGACAGTGAATGGCTTGTGACAAGTAGATGTTTTTGTTTGTTTGTAATCAAATTAATGTTCACTAATGTACTGTTGTCTATAATTGAGTTGATTGCAGTTGTTCAAAATTCTTTCCAATTTTCCCAGTTGTCCAATCTCTTGACCACCTGATTCTTATTAGTAGAAGACTTTGTCCCTCTCTTTTTGACAAAATCAAGGCCTATCCAAAATAAGTTCTTTTCAAATTCTATTTCTTTGACCTAAATTTTGCTCTTCCTTCGAACTCTTTCCTTGAAAAAAGAATAGCCTTTCTTCCTTGACAACCTCTGTTTGCTTTCATCTGCTTAACTGGACATTTCCTTGCTGTCTACAAACTTACTTGGTCTCTTATCTTAAATCTATTTCTGGAGCCTATCACCCACTCCTTTTCACAGTCAAATATGAGTAATTTGCAAACTCCTGTCTTCACCATCTAGTCCCAGAGTCATGTATGGGGTTTTTTCTAAGCTGTTTTACTTCCCGTTCCCTGCTGCCTCCAGTTAAAATTCATTGCCCTGGGCTTTTTTGGAGGTGCTCAACTTTTCAGTAAAACATTTTTTCCCCAGTTTGCAGCTGACTTTTCCCATCTCGGTTTTATTCTCTCCCTATTCTTGGCTTCTCCTTCTCCTTTTGGCTCTAAAATATATAAGGTTCTATCCTAGCCTTTCTTCCTCCTTGGTATTTAAAAAAAATATCTCCCCTGATTCCATTCATGTCTTCTCAGATGGCTTCCCAAATCAGTATTTTTAAGCCCATGTCTGTCATGATTTCCAGACTCAACTTCCACCTACAGGTTTTATACACATCTGTGCAGATGTTTTTTCCATGTCCCCCACCTGACAGGTCCAACACTCCATCCATCATTGTTCTGTTCCTTGAGTCATCTCCTCTCTGTCTACCTCATGTTTCTTCATGTCTGTTCCTATCGATTCTCTGGACTCAAAGCCTCTATTGTCTCTTGACTCCCTTTCCCCTCCAGTGAGATGTTAAATCCTATTGATTCTATCTAGCTTTAATCCCCTGTGTCGCTCTCCTCCCTACTCTCTCCTTTGCTTCTGTTCTGGCTTATGTCCTGTCAGGTGAATTATTGTCAAATCCTAATTAGTCTCCCCATCCCTCACCATCCTGCTTTAGCACTCTGTATTATAGTTCTGACCACAACATCCCTCAGGAAGCCTTAAAGGCTCTCCACATTTGCCTACTCTTTTCCCTTGGACTCAGGTTCTCCTTCCTCTGGCTCTGACTTTTTCCCCAGCATTATCACTCAATTGCGGCGAATTGAACACATGCCTCATGACTTCCTATCTTGCACCTTCTGGAAAGGTGTTTCCCATTGAAATCATGTTTACCACAGGTAATGCTTCTTCCAGGAAGCCTTCCCTGGCCTTCTCTTGGAGGTGTCTGGACTAGATAGTTAAGCTTCCATAGAGTTGAGGTATTATTCCTCTTTGTGTTCCCTGTACCTCTCAGCATAAAGTTTATTTGCCAAGATCGACTTCCTTTGAGCTATTGACCTGAATGCTGTGGCATAAAATTGCATGTCTATATGCATTTTTCTCACTCTGCATTTTGCTCACTCTGTTTTAATTATCACCTTAGCATTCCCAGGAAATTTTGGCTTACAGTATATTTTAAATTTTTGAGTTGGGGAGCTAGTGTAAATGTTACATTGGAAGATTTTTTTTTTAAGAAAAATTTTAAAAAACGTAAATGGTAAGGAAAGTAAATTTTTTTCATTTTCTGTTCATGGTATACATTTTATTTATTTTTTATTTTTTATTTTTTTAAAATATATTCTATTGATTTTTTTACAGAGAGGAAGGGAGAAAGAGAGAGGGATAGCGAGTTAGAAACATTGATGAGAGAGAAACATCGTTTCAGTTGCCTCTTGCACGCCCCCTACTGGGGATGTGCCCGCAACCCAGGTACATGCTCTTGACCGGAATCGAACCTGGGACTCTTGAGTCCGCAGGCCGATGCTCTATCCACTGAGCCAAACCAGCTAGGGCAACATTTTAATTCTTTCTAGTGGAACCAAAAACCTCCTGAACCCCTTTCAGTATCATTCAAAACTTGAATTTCCTCTATGTCTAGATTTTAAAAATCTATTTACAAATGAGCTGTGCAGTTCAGTCACCTTTTTTACTTCAAGCTTTTCTTTTGTCAAAATGAAACAGTACAATATGCATATTTCCTCTATAATTTTTAAAAAGTTTTTTTATTTATTGATTTTTAGAAGAAGGGAGAGAAAGAGAGAGAGAGAGAAACATCGTTGTTCCACTTATTTATGCATTTATTGGTTGATTGATGTATGTGCTCTGACCAGAGATCAAACCTGCAACCTTGGTGTTTTGGGACAGTGCTGTAACCAACTGAGCTACCCAGCCAGGGCTCCTCTATACCTATAGTCTTTATTTGTGATACCAGCTGCTAGATCTATGAAGTGTTTTGCAGTCAAGCTAGAATATAGAACTATTTGTCCATACACCCAGAAGAGCCACCTGAATGTCTACTTTCACAAGGGCTTTCTTCATAGGCGATATGGTAGAGTCGCAGTCACTGTATAGGTCAGAGCTCACACCTCAAGAACCCCATGGTCAGGGCCATGGTATGCCCTGGGAGGCAGGTAAAGTGGTGCCACGTGTGATCCTTCTCTGCAGGCCAGGCCCAAATGCTGGGGAAATGGAGGAGGGTGCCTCTTCAGAGCACAGAATGGCTGAGCAAGAACACCCGCAGAGAGGACAGGAGAGCTCAGGATGAGTCCTTGGAAGAAATGTTTTTTAGTGAGCGATTCTCTTTTTAAAAAAAATTGATTTCAGAGAGGAAGGGAGAGGGGGATAGAGATGGAAACATCAATGATGAGAGGAAAATCATCGATTGATTTCCTCCTGCACACCCCCTACTGGGGATTGGGCCTGCAACCCAGGCATCTGCTCTAACTGGGAATCAAACTGTGACCTCCTGGTTCATGGGTCAATGCTCAACTATTGAGCCACCCAGCTGGACAGTGGGTAGTTCTTAATGGGATAATCATAAAAAGGGATAATCAACTATATCAAAAATATAGCTGCTGGTAGCACAGGTCTGTGGCTCTGTAAGTGTAATGCCCAAATTAGCAGTCTATCACCTAGGTCAGTGGGCTGAGGTCTGAGAATTCAAGTTTCTAACAAGCTCCTAGGACTTAGGTCAGTGACTGGCAAACTGCGGCTCGCGAGCCACACACGGCTCTTTGGCCCCTTGAGTGTGGCTCTTCCACTAAATACCGACTTCTGCGCATGGGTCACGAAGTTTCAATTGCACTGTACCTGTGCGCCTGCGTGTGGTATTTTGTGGAAAAGCCACACTCAAGGGGCCAAAGAGCCGTGTGTGGCTTGCGAGCCACAGTTTGCCAACCACTGACCTAGGTCTTAGGACAGTGATGGCGAACCTATGATACACATGTCAGAGGTGACACGCGAATTCATTTTTTTGGTTGATTTTTCTTTGTTAAATGGCATTTAAATATATAAAATAAATATCAAAAATATAAATCTTTGTTTTACTATGGTTGCAAATATCAAAAAATTTCTATATGTGACATGGCACCAGCGTTAAGTTAGGGTTTTTCAAAATGCTGACATGCCGAGCTCAAAAGGTTCACCATCACTGTCCTAGGAGCTTGTTAGAAACTTGAACTCTCAGACCTCAGCCCAGACCTGTTGGATCAGTCCTGGGAGTGACCTCAGTGATCAATGTGAGCCCACCCTCCCAGCCATGCTGGTGCCACTCGAGTGTAGACTTTTAGTCTAGACCACAGACCACTCATTAAGTATCCCATATAGTTCAGTACCATAAATTCACCCTTTTAAAGTAAACAGTTCAGCGGTTTTCAGTACACTTACAAAGCTGGGCAGCCATTCCACTATCTTAATTCCAGAACATTTTTATCACTCCAAAGAGAAACCTTGTACCCATTCACATTCCCTGGCAACTACTAATCTACTTTCTGTCTCCATAGCTTTGCCTTTGCCTCTTCTAGACATTTTGTATGAATAGAATCAGACAGTATGTGGCCTTTTGTGTTTGTCACTTACTATGTTTCCAAGGTTTATACATACTGTATGAAACATGAATCAGTACTTCATTTTTAAAAAAATATATATTTTATTGATTTCTTACAGAGAGGAAGGGAGAGGGATAGAGAGTTAGAAATATCAATGAGAGAAACATCGACAAGCTGCCTCCTGCACACTCCCTACTGGGGATGTGCCTGCAACCAAGGTACATGCTCTTGACCGGAATCGAACCTGGGACCCTTTTTTAAAATATATTTTATTGATTTTTTTACAGAGAGGAAAGGAGAGGGATAGAGAGTTAGAAACATTGATGAGAGAGAAACATCGATCAACTGCCTCTTGCACACTCCCTACTGGGTATGTGCCTGCAACTAAGGTACATGCCCTTGGCCAGAATCGAACCTGGGACCCTTGAATCCGCAGGCCGACGCTCTATCCACTGAGCCAAACCGGTTAGGGCCGAACCTGGGACCCTTGAGGCCGCAGGCCGATGCTCTATCCATTGAGCCCAACCGGTTAGGGCAGTACTTCATTTTTTAATGCTGAATAATATTCCGTTGTATGGATACATACCACATTTTGCTTATTCATTCATTAGTTGATGGACGTTTGGGTTTCCAGTTTTGGGCTATTATGAATAATGCTGCTGTGAGCATACATGTACTTTGTTTGTGTGGACATTTTCATTTTTCTTGTAATTTCTGGGTCATAGCAACTCTTGTTTTTTGAGGAACTATAAACCTTTCCCAAAGGAACTGTGCCATTTTACATTCCCACCAGCAATGTATGAAGATTCCAACTTCTCCACATCCTCATCATCATTTGTTATCTCTCTCTTTTTTTCCGTTATCTCTCTTTTAGATTATAGTTATGCTGGTGGTTGTGAAGTGGTATTTCATTGTGTTTTGATTTGCATTGGAATCATACATTTTTATGCTACAGCTTTAAGTTGCTTTTTTCATTATATTAGTTGGCTTTTGATTATCCAGATTGCTTGTGTAGTGTGTTCCTTAAAATGGCAGTTTGGGGAGTGCAGGTTTACCAGGTGTACCAGTTAATAATGCGGATTTTTTTCAATAGATGGAGTTACACATATGTTGCTATATATACGATTTGATATGTATGCCATTTTGTTGTATTGACTTCAAGCTTCAAAACTTCATGTGTCAAATTTGCTGAAGGTGTTAACATCATAGATATTTTTACGCTTAAAAATGTCAAATTTCATGCCAAAAAAAGCATTTGTGGGAAGTTTTAATTCATCACTTTATTTTGAAGAAAAAGTGATCATATATTTCAGGAAGCTTATAAAGGTGAACATGCTCCATCTCAAGATACTTGTGAACACTGGTTTAAACGCTTTAAAATTGATGATTTCGATGTGAAAGACAAAGAACGTCCAGGTCAACTGAAAAAGTTTGAAGACCAACAATTACAAGCACCATTGGATGAAGATGCATGTCAAACTCAAAAACAACTTGCAGAAAGATTAAATGTTGCTCAGCAAACAATTTCCAATTTTGAGAATCCCAAATGCACAAAATCATGGGTTGATCCAGGTCAACCATCAATATCGACTGGAAGGCCAAAGTTGCTTCAGAAAGAAAATAATGCTCTGCGTTTGGTGGGATCAGGAAGGTGTGGTGTATTATGAGCTTCTAAAACAGGTGAAACCATTAATACTGATCACTACTGACAACAAATAATCAATTTGAATCACGCTTTGATCGTGACCAGAATGTGCCCGAAGACATGGCAGAGTAATTTTGCTTCATGATAACGTACATCCCACACTTCAAAACGAGTTAAAGACATGTTAAAAGATCTTGCCTGGGAAGTATTAACCCACCCGCAGTATTCACCAGTCCTTGCTCCTTCAGATTACCACTTGTTCTTTCAGATTACCACTTGTTCCCTCAGATTACCACTTGTTCCCATGGATGGCACACGCACTTTCTGAGCAGCGCTTCAGAATGTACGAAGAAATGGAAAATTGGGTCTCTGAATGGTTTTCCTCAAAACAAGAAAAGCTCTATTGGGATGGTATCCACAAATTACCTGAAAGATGAAAGGGAAATGTGTAGCTAGTAATGGACATTACTTTGAATAAAGCACTTTTTGATATTTCTCTTGAAATTATCGTGTTTTCTTTGATTATGGAATCCGTCATTATTAACCGGTACACCTAGTATATATGTAAGCCGGTAGAGTGGTTTAAGGTTCACATCCAGTTTTTGTAAATATTTTGCTTCAACTCTTATTTATCTCAATGCATTTCAGGGTGGTGGCCTTGTCCATGTCACCTGTGGATGACACTTTCATTTCTGGGTCTCTTGATAAGACCATTCGACTCTGGGATCTCCGGTCTCCTAACTGCCAGGTAATGGTACCTCACAGTTACACTTTGAGTGTTATGTATGGTAGGCACTGTCATCAACTCTCCCTCTCAAGGAAAGGGGAGAGCATTGGTTCTATTCTGGGATCCCAGAGTCTTTTTAAAAAACTTTGGAGAAAATCTGATTTCCTGGTAGGTAGCTGGTAATTAAGCAAATGCCCTAATCCAGGGCATATTGCATTATGCTCTGTGGCTTATTGCTTTAAAAATGTTTTCCTGGAGCCTTTTAGCCTCAGATTTGTTATTTGGATTTAGTGGCTATAAAATACAGTTAAGGTTGATCTGAAATCAGTTGTATGGAGACCTGTTTTTTTTGTTGTTGTTTTTTTTATAAAAGCTTCATTTCAGTTTTACTTTTTCACTTCTGTAGGTAGGCTGGTATCTATTTGTGTCTCTTAGTTTTCTTTGGGAAAAGTAAATTTTATAGTGATAGGACCCTAGGTTCATTAACTTTTTTTCTTATTTCTGTTTTCTTAGGGCCTCATGCATCTACAGGGCAAGCCAGTTTGTTCTTTTGATCCAGAAGGGTTAATTTTTGCTGCCGGTGTCAATTCTGAAATGGTCAAACTCTATGACCTTCGTTCTTTTGATAAGGTAAATCCTTAAGCTCTCTTGATATTGTGGAAGTTTTGATGGGTGAGATGGACATTTTAAGAACCTTTTTAAAAACATATATTTTTATTGATTTCAGAGAAGGAGAAATAGAAACATCAATGATGAGAGAAAATCATTGATCTGCTGCCTTCGTCCCCTACTGGGGATCGAGCCTGCAACCCTGAGTTGGACCCAAGACCCTTTAGTTTGCAGGCTGATGCTCTAACCACTGAGCAAAACCAGCTAGGGCTTTAAGAACCTTTTCTATGATAGAGAGGTATATGGTAGATATTGGAGAGTGTCATAGCAGCAGTTCATCCTTTGCTTTCCTTAGTCAAAAAGGAATCCAAAGGGGATAGAATAAGAGCTCTGGCAGAAGGAATTAATTGATTTGCATTGGGGCTGCTGCTTTTATCTTTTGCAGGGGCCATTTGCAACATTTAAGATGCAGTACGATCGGACTTGTGAGTGGACAGGACTTAAGTTCAGCAACGATGGCAAACTCATCCTCATCTCCACCAATGGCAGCTTCATTCGTCTCATTGATGCATTCAAGGGAGTGGTGATGCACACGTTTGGGGTGAGCTGACATAGCTGTTTCCATGTTCCTATCTCCTGGGCTGAGAGTTGTGTTCACTGGTTAGTGGAGACAAACAGCTATCCTTGACTCACTGACTGAGGCACGGGCTTACATTTTGTTCCTGTATATGAACTTACTTTTACTTCCCTTGGATTCTGAGACATTCACTTCTCACCCAGTGACTCAAGTTTAGTGTTTAGATGTCATATAATTCGTGACCATAAACGTTTTCTTGCCCTCTTGAATCTGGAGCTAGAGTAAGGGGTGAATGGTAAAGGGTGGGGCCACGTTTGGAAACTTGGTGCCGTTGTGCATGAGAAGAGGGTTTCACAGAAAGGAAGGTGATGAGTCTGCTGGGTCAGTGTTTCTAGGCAGTTACTTTTTTGTTAATGGCACTTTGGCAAGAGAACTGTTCTGTTTTTTTAGGGTTATGCCAACAGCAAAGCTGTCACACTGGAGGCCTCATTTACTCCAGATTCCCAGTTTATTATGATCGGTAAGTGCTCTTTATACCCTTTGGGGGTTATTTTTTTAATACTGAGGTTTTGTTTCTATTATTTTTGTTAATTTTAACTAATTAAGATATTTGTTATCCTTTTGTTAAGATGTTCTCAGATTTCTGTGTATCACTGTATGCCAAAGGTATAGTGTCTTTAACTATTCTGACTTTGCAGTTCTTTACTGGGAACTGGCATTAATGTTGGTCTTTCCTGGACTAGCGTTAGAGTTAAACTCTACAAGCACCATCTTATTAGTAATACTAATTTTCTGATATAATCCTGCTTTCAATAATTTTTTAAGTATATTTTTTATTGTTGATAGATATCTCCCATTTTTCCCCCCTTGACCTCCCTCCTCCCTGCCCTACCCACCCCCCGGGTCTTCACTATCCTATTGCCTGTGTCCATGGGCTATACATACAAGTATATGAGTTCTTTGGTTTATTCTTTTCATCCCCCCATTTCAGTTATCTTAATGGCTAGGTGTTGGTGGTGTAATGATATTCAGCCTCCATTTAAAAAAAATGTTTTTATTGATTTTAGGGAGAGAGGAAGGGAGAGGGAGAAACATCAACATTGATCGGCTGCCTTCTGCATGCCTCTATTGGGGATCGAGCCGACAACCCAGGCATGTGCCCTGACAGTGACCTTGGTGCATGGGTCGATTGATGCTCAACCATTGTGCCATACCAGCTGGTTTTAAATACCAGTCCCCATTTCTAATGAGAAAACTGAAGTCAGAGGGGAAGTTATTTGCTTAGGAACAAATAACTAGGATCAAGATTAATTCCCAGAGTGTCCTTTCTTCACCGCTTCTCCTCCCTCAATTTCTGCTGAGGGCTGGGTCCTGAAACATGACTTCTTTCTACATGCCAATCTATGTCTCTTTCCCACTTCCCTTTTTATTGTGCTTTGAGCTGTTGTGTGTTCCTTGATCATTCTATTCAGGTTCAGAGGATGGCAAGATCCATGTCTGGAATGGAGAGAGCGGTATAAAAGTAGCTGTGTTGGATGGCAAACATACAGGCCCCATTACCTGTTTGCAGTTCAACCCCAAGTTCATGACCTTTGCCAGCGCATGTTCCAACATGGTATGCGAACAATGGGAGATGTCCTTCAGTTGGGTTGTGGGTGTTTCAATGTTTCACCTCTTACTCTCTGATCTCTGGTTGGGCTGGCCTTTCATTTTTACTCTTCTTTCTATGATCTGGGATCACCTGTGAGCTCCCCGGAGATCTTAAGCCAGTTTTAGCTCTGGCCCCTGGTTTTATGCCCAAACTATCTGGGCTATGCTTTGACAGCTTTTTGGCTTCTTAAAATACTTTGAACAAGCCTTTTGTGGTTGTAACCTATAAGTTTTCCATTTCTCTCAGTTTATCGCTGAATTCCTCAGAAATTCTTACAGTTGATCATAACTCACCACTTAGAAAATTTTCTCCAGGCTGTGTCTCTTCCTAGATAACACTGGCAGAACAAAGCATCATGAGTCTCAGCTACCAGTTTCCCCTTGGCATCTTCTAAACCTACCTGGATATTTGGAGGATGAGGCACTTACCCAGAACACATTACCTTCCTGGCACCCCCCCCCCCCCCAAGAAAACCTAAAAAAAAAAAGCATCAAAACCATCCAGTCCAATCCTCTTTTTTTACAGATCAGGAAGGTAGGGCCTTTCTGAGGGTCACTTGGTACATAAGTATGAGGCTAGGTTACCCAGATGCCTACCTCCTGGTCAGCACTCCTTTTTATCCTTACCACTGGGCCACTGTGGTAAGGATAAAAAGGGTAGCAGTATTGGAGGGAAACAGAACCGTGTAAAGTGGAGTGTTTCTCCATAGATTGCCAGAGTCGGTTGTTTGGGAGGGAAGGCCACCAGCCATAAGGGTTGGACAGCTTGACGCTGTGGGAAGGGGTAAAAGAACCCTTAGTAGTTAAGAGAGCGACTTGGCTTTTTAAAGTTGACTTATGTTCTTTTTCCAGGCCTTCTGGTTGCCCACCATTGATGACTGATCCTGATGCTGTTTGGCTATTTCTGTACAGTGAGTGTGGCCAGCAGGAAAAAACTCAGAGGGACTGATCTAATATTGGGACTGGATCATTTGACTGGGCTGGAGAGCATCCTTCCACCTGGCCTTCCCATGGATGTGCTGTACATCTGCTCAAAAGAAAAAAAAGGACTTTGCCAAGCTTCTTCAAAAGGACTCTTGGTGGGGCAGATTCAATTGGGACTCACATTTTCTAGCTGTCAACTGCACCAAGCTCCTCCAGAGGATGACCAGACTCATGATTAGGGTATAGTGGGGCCCTTAAGGCGCCTTCAATTTTGAATGTATTTGCTGCTGAGGAGCTAATGAAGTTATTAATTCTGCACATCCCCTCTCTTACCCCCATAAATGCATGGGAAGCCACAGTTCTGGTTTTGAGATGTTAGAGCAGCTCAGTGCCCCTTGCCCTCACCCTGCATGTCTTATTACTGGGTCTCCCTGTGTCATTGTGGTATAATCCACAACTATATGTTACTTAGGTGCCAAACATTTACAGAAATAAGTCTTCATATATCTTGGGGTCAGAAAGGGACAGTTACAGAAAGACCTTGTTTGCTAGGAAGAGTCAAGTTATAGTCATTTGAGGGTGGGTGACCTAGACATGCCTCAGGCTCTGGGTTTTAGGTGGGAAAAGACCCAAGAACCTGAAAGGGAGGAAGAGGTAGCAGGTGAGTTCCTAGGACTGGGAGGTATAGCAGTAGCCTAGTGTGGTCCCTTCTCATCAAGACAAACCAATGGTCCTCCTGGGTGCCTACCCAGTGTGGTTGTGTACAAAAGCAAGGGAGTCTATTTTTGTACATGAGATACATCACACTTTCCTGTGGGGCCAGTATTGTGGAGTGAGTTTGAGTTGTTTACACTGATGCCTTCCCTGCCCACCACAAATTGTGTAAATAGTCTTCTGATGATACTATCCCTTCCCAGCTCTTAACCATGAGCTGGCTCCAGGCCTGTGTTATATGTTATATTAGCCTTTTTATATATGATCTTGGATTTCTGTTGTTTGTATTTTAGCACAGTGTGTACACCTTCATTTAAATATATCTGTGTATGTGCATACATATATATGTATACTAGAGGCCCAGTGCATGACATTTGTGCACTGGGGTGGGGGTCCCTCAGCCCGGCCTGCACCTCTCGCAGTCCAGGACCCCTTGGGGGGTATCTGCCTGCCGGCTTAGGCCCACTCCCTGTGCAGAGAGCGGGCCTAAGCCAGCAAGCGGATATCCCCCAAAGGGTCCTTAGTGCTGCTACGGAGGCGGGAGAGAGACTCCCGCTGCCGCCGCTATGCTCACCAGCCGTGAGGCCAGCTTCTTGCTGAGCGGTGCTCCCCCTATGGGAGTGCACTGACCACCAGGGGGCAGATGCTCAAAGCAGGGGCTGCCCCCTGGTGGTCAGTGCGTGTAATAGCGACTGGTCGTTTCATCTTTCAGTCAATTTGCATATTAGGGTTTTATTATATAGGATAGGGTGTATGTATGCATATATATATAAAATACTTGTTGTTTCTTGGAGTTTAGCTGAAGAACAGCCTGGGGGAAAGACTGCATCCTTGCTAATAGTGTTTGCCACAAGTGTTTGTGAGTCTTCCCTATTACATTTTCCCTTAGGAGACTTTACGGAGCAAAGCTCCAAGTGTTTGCTATTCCCATGGCAGCTAATTGAGGGTCTTGGGACGACTCCCTTGTGTTCATCAAGCCGCACTTTGGGGCCCTCTCTGCAGTATTAGCCCCCTTTTTTGCCTGGTGATACTCTGTCTGCACCTTTATATGTGTGACAGTCACTTTTGCATGCCTTCTGTGTCTGGCTTACAGTATTTGGGGACAGGATGCTGGAACCACGGCATTTTCAGTTTGAGGCTTTACCAATTACACGTCAATCCTGTTTACCTGTTATATCTTCTTTCTTGTTTCTGTTCCTTGCCTTCTCTTGGGAGATGGAGGGGTCCTGATCAGGGTTGAGATGAGCTGTGGCTAGCTTATGGCTTTTCTTCCCCTGCATGGCCTTCTTAGAGCAGGATGAATGGCATGTTATTTTACTAAATTCCCAAACATTTAATTAAGCAGGTAACATATTCCCTGCTCTTCCAGAAACAGACTCAACAAGGTAATGATTTGTCCACAAGGACTTGCCCAAGAGTACATGTCTGCTAGGGGGAAAGCAAACAATTACTGCCTCTGTTCAGCAGCAGAAATAGGCTATGAATTGCAAGCAATTACTATTTTGTTTTAGCAGTTACCTTTTTTTTTTTAATCTTCACTCGAGGATATTTTTTCCATTGATATTTAGAGAGGGAAGGAGGGGTAAACATCAATGTGAGAGACACATGAAATGGTTGCTTCCTGCACAAGCCCCTGACCGTGGCCAGGGATCGTACCTGGCGTAGGCTGACGCTCTAACCACTGAGAACACTGGCCAGGGTGCAATTTTTGACTTGTTCTCAAACTTAAAGGTCAAGGGGCATGCATCTTTCTCAATGTAGACTAGGACCTGCAGCTTCTGTGATACTCACTTTATATAGCTTTGCAACTTAATAGTGAAGGAAATTTTAGAAACCAAATGAACTGAGCTGTTTACTGCCCACTCCTGACTTTCCCGGGATAGAAAATTCATAGTAGGGATAACTTCAGAGAGTGCTTGGAACAGGGTTAACAGAAAACCTGCATAATTAACATATCTGTAACTAGAGCAGCTACCAAGCATGATTTTCCTGTCAGCAGCAAAATGAATTGTATTGAGTTGTATGTCCAAAGCTGAGGTACCATGTCCTTTGAAAATATGCACTCATGGCCTCGTATAAGGACCTGGCTCCTGAGTTAGGAAGGAAAGGAAAACGACGTAGCTGGAAGTGACTGGAGATGATGTGGTGGTGGGAATAAGGCAGAATAAAGAGAATAAAGGCTGTTGGCCAAAGAGGCTGAAGGCTGGGGCTGCATGGATGCTCACAGAGGAGCCAGAGGTGCTTGAGTTCTTAGTGAGCAGGGGCTGCTCACCACTTTCAAGTCGGGCCAGAGCCACCGATTTGTATGCAACAGTAACAACACTGCATTGCTCAGCCACCAGCTAGTTGGTTATTATTATTATTATTTTTTTTTTTTTTAAGAAAAACTTCTGGTTGCAATAACAATTAGTGCTTATTAAAGAAAATTTGGGAATTTTAGAAAGAATCAGTTTTCCACCTAAATGCTATCACTGTTAATCTTTTGGTGTTAAGTGTTCTTCTAGACATTTCTGTGTGTAGATTTTTGGTGTGTTTACATAGTTGTTATTCTACTGTATATACAATTTTATGTCCCTTTTGTACTTAACATAAACATTTTTCCATGTTACTGTCTTAAACAGAATTTTATGGCTGTAGCCTCTTCCTTTGAGTTTCGGTAGCATTGTTTGGTTCCTAGAGTTGGAGGATGAGATGGGCTGACTCCTGGCTCCCAGTGGGCTTCGCTAAAACACTGTGTGGATGGATTGTTGTGCTTCCTGGGACTGCCCTTGACTGCCCCTGGTGACTAAGCTATGGGCTGGTGGGAGGAACCCCTAAACTCAGTCCTCAGGTGAATAGCAGCGTGAGTCTCCTCTACCCCAGCCTCTAATAAGCAACCATATGGCCAGAAATGAGTGAATGGGAAAGGCCAGCCTGAGCCAACCTTGATCTTCAAAGACTTACATCTGGCATGTACCTCAGGCTACCTTTCATCCCCACTGTTATCTCAGCTCTTAATCAGAATGGCAGCCTCTATCTGGAATAAGATTTGCCCTGCTAGACCTTAGCTTTTGGGAGGCAAGGATAGTGGGGCCTCTTGGAGGCTCCTATGCCAGTTTTGGCAGACGGCCTGGCAATTGCTTGGTAACCCACTGCCTGGCTTGTGAGTTGGTACCTACTAGAGCCTGTATTCTAACTGCTCTATCTATCCTTGGAGCTGCAAGCACCTGCCATGTGCCTTATTCCTGGCCCTCTCTGGACCAGAGAAGACAGTCTTAGGCCCATTACTTTGCCCATGGTCATTGGAGGTTGGCCAAGGGCTGTGAAAGGCAGCAGAGGGAACATCCCAGCTTATGAGCAGTAGGTTGACAGATTGCTCAAAGAGGAAGAGACCTCACAACCCAGTGGGAGGGCTGCTGCAGCATTTGGCTCCGAGACATGAATACATAGGTCTGTAGCTGGCCCTGCTGCAGTCACTCCTGTCAGCTTGCTTGTAGTTGACATACCCACTACACCCACGCCCTTGGCTTCAGCCTTTGGTGTGAGGAGCAAGAGGATGAGCTGGCTCAGCTGTTGATATGGGCGAGAGGCAGACACAGGATGCTGCCCACACTCTTGGGGGCGGGAAACTACTGAGGAAAGGGGAAGTAAAACTCCTGCAGGTTATCCGGGCCCACTCCTGCTCTTGCCAGCTGCCAACTAGAGTCCTGGAGAGGCTGCCCAGGGTGGCTGGGGCCGACCAGTTTGTCAGGACACATGGAGGTCCAGACTGTGGACAGATGTAGGTCCAGAAATGCTGGGCTATGGAATATGACTGAAAAACGAGAAATTTTCTAGTTTTTCCTATCTTCCCTAAAAAACGTTTAGGACCGTGGTCGGCAAATTGCGGCTCGCGAGCTACATGCGGCTCTTTGGCCCCTTGAGTGTGGCTCTTCCTAAGCCTTAGGAGTACCCTGATTAAGTTAGTAACAATGTACCTACCTATATAGTTTAAGTTTAAAAAATTTGGCTCTCAAAAGAAATTTCAGTCATGTACTGTTGATATTTGGCTCTGTTGACTAATGAGTTTGCCAACCACTGGTTTAGGAAATGGAGTCTAAAATGAGTTAATGGGCCGGAAAGAGGGTCTGAGAGCCTCCTCAAGGAGTTAGTAAATACATGAATTTTATCATCAATTCCAGGGCCTATTGGCCCTTGACCTTCTAGCTGCTATTTAGGCTGTGAGCTACCTGCTAAGAAATCTCAATTGTAAACCAAAATAGTGGATCAGGGAAGAGTCGAGTAAGGTTGAGGTCATGAAGGTGATTACCTTATAACTGAACAAATACTTTGCCAGTACTTGAGTCTTGGCAAGTGCTAGATTGTAAAATAGTCTTGTTGGAAGGGTAAAAAATTAAGCTGCCCATCAAAATGCAAGCCTTGGAATTTCCATTCAAAAACAAGTTAAAAGGGCAGCCCTTCTGGTACCTCAAACCCAGAGCTCACAGATGGTGGTGGAGACCTCCTTTCTGTTCCCTAGGCAACAGTCCTCTCACTGGGGCTCACCCCAAGCTGGAAACTAGGGAGGCCACAGAAAAAAAGTGCTATATGCAAGCTTGTAACGTAGAACTAAGACTGATTTTTTGGAAGGTAAAAGCAAAGGTAAAGTGTAATGCCAAGCTGTACAGGAATTCACGATTCACAAGGGCTTTTCTGCACACAAACTTTTAATCATAGGGAGGTGATGGGGAGCAACAAAAGAAAGGCATTATTGGGGCATCAGCCTGGGGAGGGGACTGGAAGGAGCAATTGGGATGCAAGGCCAGAGGCAGGAGCAGTCATTGGAGGGAATTCCCCACTCAGCCAACTGGGACTCCTTGCCCCTTTTTGTTCTCCAGCTGCCTGCTAAAGAGAGGACCATGGGAGCTGGGTTCTCGACACTTCAGTTCTGACTGCCTGGTATAAATAAATGCTCCTTTTGAAATGGGTGGGGGTGGGGGCAAAAGCCCTGGGGTGTGTCTGGGGGCAGGCAGGCAGGCGTGCTGTTGACCACAGTGGAGGGATGCTCACATTGCACCTAATCTGAGTGGTTTTGGGATATGGTGTCTGAATCCTCAGTGGCCACTGCTCCCTTGGCTCTGGTTGTACAAGGGAATCACGAACACAGAGACGTCATCGTAGGACACCTGCCCTTCCTCTGTGGGATTGCCATCCTTCCCCTGTGTGCTGTGTATCAGCATTTGGGCCAGCTCCGAGAACCTGTGGGGATCATCCTGCAGATGTACTCCAGGGCTGAGCAAAGAGGCA